TTATTTGCTAGTTGGTATTTTTCTTACAGTTTTATTGAAAAAGAGAGGATTTCTTAAAAAGAAATTTTTTTAAAAAAATAATATATATAGGAAAGAATTTTTATGTTAAAATAAATTATTTTATATAGCAGCAGGAGGATGAGCAGACTTTTTATTTTATGTTCTTCAACTTTATACCTTTTGGACTTATAGCTTTGTGTATTTTTTATCGCTTTATTCTAGATTTTACAAAAAAAACTAATTGATGAATCAGATTGAGAGCTTTCCTGTATAAAGTTTTTCTTGTGAATTTTATGACTTTAGAATCCTTTAATCGGTATTAAAAATTTTATTATTCATCAAATTGGTGTATTTTTACATATAGCTAGAACAGCTTTAATTTTTTATATATCATCAAGATCAATAGTTTGGGTCTTGAAAGTTCCAAGGTCTTTTAACGCTATTTTAAATATTAATTATCTGATATCTAACTTGTCTAGCTAGAGAACGTGCATTTTATGATTTAGGTCACACTTCATATACTGTATATTATATAGCTATTTGGCCTTTAACTGACCTTTAAACGTCTAAAATCTTCTTGCCTAGTTTGAGGCTCCGGGAGCTTGTTTCGATAGCAATGACTTATGTCGAAAAAATAGCTACTGAAAAATTTTTATTGGAAATAGATTATATTATACTTTTTTTCTAGGCATTAGTTAATTCATTTTTTATTTTTTTGGTGCAATTCTATTTCCTTTTGCAAATCAAGTAGAGTATTCCAGATTCTGGATATTACAGTATTAGCGGAGCACAAAGCCCTATTACGACAGCGTGAGTAGATGATTACGTTCAACTGGTACTTCTGCTTTTTGTTAACCTTCCAGAAACGAAGTAGGAAGAAGCTACGTAAGTTTTTTCATGGTGAGCTGGTTATATATGAACAAAAGTGATTTTGGCTGATTCTAACAAGGCTTCCATATGTGCTCGCTGAGGGCGTGGCTTTGGACGAGTACGAACGTCGCACCGACAAGTTTAACATTCATGGTTTATGGGAATGGATAAATTATAAAGTCTCGGTTTATGAACTTCCATTAGAACCATACGAAGCTTGTATTGACGCGATTATTAAATATTTTAATAAGGGCTGTGGTGGTGTTGACGATACCAATGCCAGTATAATGAACTTAGGTGCAACTCGTAAGCATCAATTAATTAACTATCTCAGCCTATTTTTTTTTTAAAGGAACTCGCGCCTGCACCAACCGGAAGTGATGGAAAGGTATCTTTTGTTTTTTCTATTGGCTTTGAGCCCTTTAACATTGAAGTTTTACATTTTCATGATTTTAGAGGAAACCATGGCCAAATATTATTGTGAAAGTCACATATTCTGAAAGCATAATCACGTCTTCGAAAAGGTGAAAGATTACTGGCTAAAGGATCTTAGTCGCGCACATGACACAATAGTTGTTAAAATCAATCCGATTTCTGAGGACGAAACACCTTCATGCATGCGAGTAAGTTATACTTCTTAAAATGTAGGTGATGTTTTATTCTAAAAAATAAACCCATATAGGCGTTGCATTTTTGTTCCACTAACAGAAGAACACGAGGAGAGGAACTTCCACATTGAACTCACGTAATGTCAAATATAGGATAAATTATCTTTCTACCAATTTTCAAATTTTTTTAATACGGATGGTTTATTATTTTATTACTGTTTGAGTTTGGCACTCATGATGGAGCCGGAAATCTGTTGAATATTTTGCAGGGTACATGACTCATCATTGGATTGTCTCTACCACCAAGCACATTCTGATGTCCAAATTCCACGAAGCATTCTTCCCGATCCCATTGTAATGGATTTTTTCTTTGTCAAGAATGAAATTCTCCGTGCATATAGAGAATAATAGAAGTCTTAGAAAATAATAATTATTGTGACAATAGGTCATAATTTATCTGAATATTATCATTATATTGCCATATAACACTCGCGAAACTACAGTATATCCCAAAAAATTACATACCGTATATACGTCACAGTGGTTACGATTGAATTTAGCCTGTACTTTGGGACAAAATGTGTGATCCTAAACTCGTGGGTCGGCTTTATTAACAGCAGAAAGTTATACATGAAAAATCACATGCGGTCATATGACAACTGAGATTTTGCTTATCCTTGTTAGATTCTTTTCAATTAGTGTGAAAGAAAGAACGAACTATCACTTCCGAAATCGCTTTTGTGTACTCCCACTTTTGTCAATATCCAGACTGTTCCTACGGGATGTAATCGAATATTAGGTGCTAGAGTCTGGAGGGAGGGTTGATCGAAGAAGGCATTGGGAATAAGATTGCGAATGTTGTCGCGTACAGTATAAAGTTTAACGACGGTTGTGAAGTCATCTCTACGCTTATTTTGAAGACCGTTTGTTGCAAAAACATCCATAACCGCGTGATAAGCCGGCAAACCATGCTGATTGATCCATGTTTTATTTGCGGAAATGATAAGAACAGGGTTGAGATTTTTCACACTACTAAGCTGCTTCTCGTATTTTGTAATTTCTTCGTTGGAGGATTGCGGAAAAATAGTTTTAAGAGCTTCGCGGGTAGATACGAAATCTTCAAAGTCTTCAGATATTCTAAAAATAATGTGAAAGAGTAACTAAAATGGTCCGGATAACATTATACTTACTCGTTGGATGAAAAAGTAGTGTTGCTTATTGAACAAGGCGTAATTGCTGCGTTAAAAATATTTAGATATATAAAACGTAAAATTTGATTTATCGATGTTATATTTTTACCTTTCCATAACTGTATAGTATCAAATACAATGGCTAAGATATAGGAAAAAAGACGAACAGGAGAGCCTAAAGAATGTGAAATGGAAATAAGTTAGAGAAGCGACAAAGGAGGCAACATAGTTGTCAATAAAGTTTGCAGAGTGTGAAAATACACCATACAGACCAGCCAGCCGAAAAATAGGTATCGTGGCGTAAGTAAACCAGGTGAGGGGCGAGAAGAACATTTCAACTTTTTTCATGGTGGGTGAATCAATGAACTGCACAGAAACATCACGTGTTTTCTGTAAACTTGGGTAAAGACAACTTTACAATTCACACATGCTGTATACAATTATAACAATAGTTATTAATTAATATGTAGTTATATTTGACAGAAATAAACATTAATATATAGTACAGTATTATATAAGGTGATAAATAAATATTAGATCTGTTAATTATAATAAATAAAGATACTTATTTCTTCATTAATATTTAAAAAACGATAGTAGAGGATATAAAATGCATCTCATTTACTTGAAAATTGCGGATTTTTGAATTTTTTTCTAATGAATCAAAATTCGAATACTATTGAAAATAACATTTGGTGAACCCGATAAATCATTTTTTAATTGTTATTATTTTAAATTAAATATAAAATTTGAATTCGTATCAGATTTTTATCAGCTAAGAGTGATATAATGACCAATTAATGTTGTTAATCCTAGAAATTTATTTAATACAACCTTTGAAGACGGACTTCAATAATCCTTACAAGTCATAAATCAAAAGATTATTTTCCAGTAACATTATTGAAATTAATAAATAACCTATCGCTATCATCAGCAAATGATTTACACTATCTTTGATGAGAACACACATACTCCGCTTTGG